CCAAACCCTAATCTTAACCCTAATTAATAAATGTTACTCAGTGCTTTATGTATTTAAATATTCATATTATCTTATATTTAATGTATTATTCATATTAATGTAATTTGGTCCTTATTCTAATAATTTAATTCTAATAATTAAAATAATTTTTAATATTAAATAAAAGGTCATTTCATTTAAATAAAATGATTGAATAACCAATTTTTTTTGTGTGTTTATGTACTTTTATTATTTTTAGAGTCACAAAGAAAATAACAAAACGCTTACTAAAAAAGATTAAATGTTTTATTTGTTTACATGCTTACCATGTGACCGTTAACCAACATTAGAGAACCATGAACATGCAAATGTGTTGTTAAATTATTGAAATAATAACTTGAGATTCAAGGGAGACATCAAGTAAATGGTTTACTTCAAAGAGGTTCGGCTGACAAAAAAAGTTTGGGAATTCCTGGCTTACTTGAGTCTCCCATGTACATTTTGGAGCATTTTTTTTGGTTTGTCACATAGCTGCTGACTATGTATAGCATTCAAAATCAGTCACTTATGAGCTTCTGTTGCAGTTAGGATGCATATGTATTGTGTATATATAAATAGCTCCTTTAATGTTTTTCTGTCTTATCCAATCACTAGTCCATACAACAGTGAAATCTGTTCAGCTGAGTGATAGATGAGTGAACAAACACATCAGATTAAATCAGAAAGTCACATCTCTCCCACTTATTTGCCGTTATCTCACTCTCTCTGTCTTGTTTTTTTTTTTTTTTTCAGATGAATGTGGGATAGTCGCTCAGATCTCTCAGCCTCTTGCAGACAGTGATATATCAGCATATTACATTAGCACCTTCAGCTTTGATCATGCTCTGGTAAGTCCTTTTTTTCTCTCTTTTTGACACACAAAACATTTTATTGAGTATTAGTTGACTGGTGTGGTTTTTGCAGTACATTAATGCACAAATATAATTAATAGACCCATTCAGGGTGATAAAAGATCCTGATCACCCTGTGTGCGTTTATTTTGTGATAATTATCTGCTGACATTCAGTCTGTAGAGGTCATGTGCCTAGTCTACAGCATTTATATTTAGTACATTTGAATCATTTGTGTGACACTGAGCAACAGGAGGCAAATGGTTGCCTAGTAACCAGGAATCTGGTCTGATTGGACGATTTTCGCAACACCGCCTCTGTTTATTTCCATGATGTCATGTGAAATCATATCATCTGGTTGTCCTTGCTTCCTATTCCTTTCCTTTTTTCCTGGAAACCCTCAAGTATTTTAGCAGAAACTGTCTGGTTCCCGATTGGTTAGGGGATCGTTCTTACTCATCATTAGATCATCGTTATAATTTAATATTAAAATGTGCTGACTCTCTGAAATACTTGCTTCTGATTGGTGAATCACAACATTGTGCATGGAATGTCAAATATTTTTGTAGTTTTGTAGTATATCACAGTTCAAATCGCAATTGCAACATGGAAAAAATAATCACAATTTTTTTTTGTCCAAGTCGTGCAGCACTATATAGGCTATACACAGTGCTGGGTAGATTACTTACAAATTGTAGTCCAATATTGATTACAAATTACATGACGAAAATTGTAGTTAGTAACCTAATCTATTTTTACACGTTTACATCTATGTTTACACATTTTGGTTTACATTTAGGTGTAGTTGGTAGGAATGTTCTGTAGGGGTAGTTGATGAAAAGCAAATTAGTTAAATCATAAAAATGTAAAAATAAAATAAAACAATATTTTATTTGTTTACCTGCATGTGATTGTGACTATTAACTCTCATTAGGGAACCATGAATATGCGAATGTGTTGTTAAATTATTGAAATATTAACTTAAAATCTCTAGACTTCAGGAAAATATTTTAGGTCAAAATAATGTGCGAATAATAAGTAATCATGCAATCCATATAAAGTAACTGTAAACTAATTATAAACATTTTAACAAGTAATGTAATCGAAGTCAAGTACTTACTTTTTGGAATTTGATTACGAAATCTGGATTGCATGTAATACATAATTTTAAAATAAAAGCACTTTTATTCAAAATAAAACACTGATCATTTATCGTCTTACTTGCAGGTCATGTGACCTTTAACCGACATCAAAGAACCGTAAACATGCAAATGTTCAAATTATTGAAATATCAGCATATTTTTTTCCGGCTGGCATACTAGTTTTGGAACCACCGCTATACAGTAGCATGTAGGCGAATTTATTTTTTATTTTTTTTCTGACACTAGCATCCTTCATGATTCATTCAAAATCGAAGAGACATGATTCAGTCATCAGTGATTTTAGGATGTTTTTCCACATAAACTGAATAAACCATACTATATATAGGTTAACCATTGCTATATATAGGGCATGGTGATGATATAATCCTTCAGTGCAAGCCAGTGAAGTCCCTGCCACCATAATCATGCGTTCACATGACCTTACAGTAAAAGAGGAAGTGTGAGGAATAGTTCATGCCTGTTGGTATTCAAACTTGCGCTACTTTGTCATGACCTTGATCTGTTTCTGTTTCTTCATCTTGTTTTTTTCCACCCCTACTCTTTTGCCATAGTGTCACAAAAACAATTATTATTATTGTAATTTATTTTATATTTATTATTATTTTATATAAACATTTACTTTGTTTGCTGTTGTTAATAATAATAATTATTGTTGTTAGCATTTATATATTTATAAAACTATTCATTTTTATGATTTATTATTATATTTATAATTTTCTAAGGGTCCTGCTCTAAACATTGTGTTTAAGACAATGTGTAGAGTTAAAAATACATTTTAAAGGTTAAAATACTTTTTAGAAATACTGTTTTGGAAGGGTATTTTTAACTTCTGAAAATATGTAGTTCCATGCATGCATCATTCTGTCTGTCCATAAATACCTCTGTGCATCCATCCGTCTCTACAAGAAAACATGCACTGTTTCGTATGAGATGATGCATCTCTGTTTACGCCCATCCTACAAAACTCTTCATACCAGTGTGTGTTGTTCAGCTGACAGCATGTGACATCCCTAACAAATATTGCATGTTTGGATGGGACGTAATCATCCTTGTATTTTTGTGTCATCTAAGCCTAAATCTTTTTTTGTCTCAGGTGCCGGAAGAAGACATGGTGAGCGTGACCGAGATGCTTCAAGCTCAGAGGATGTCCAGTTGAGGATGTGTATTCAGATTGAAAAGGGTAGAAAAAAACCTTCATGGTGGATGGTAGATCTTATTTGAGCCACTAACTCACAGTATTACTCCACAAGTCTGTCTTACCATAACCAGAGGTGCTTCAGTCACTGCATTTGAGAGCTTGGGCTTAAAACAGACCTAAACTCAAAAAACAGTGGCATTTTGCTTTTGCAGAAACAGCAGTGCTGATTATATACCTTTACCATTAATCAAAGTATTTACATGATTTGAAAGGACATTTTTGCGGCATGTTAATGATCGATTATTTGAAGCACTTTTTTTCTTAATTTAATTAGAAGATGACAGGACGTTATCGATTTTGGATGTTTATTTCTGCATTTTCAGGGGTAATGATAACACGATGTTCTGTAATGCGCAGCAGGAAATTCCCTGTTTGGTTTACCTGCTGCCATTATGTTCTGCAAAAATCATTATTACTTTGAGGATTGCACACAGACGTCTTCCAGTATTGTCAGAATCAGGTTTTTTTTTTCTTGAGTAACCCTGTTTGAGGTCAAGCTAAATACATTTTATTGTTGTAGCAACTTATGGTGTCATTGAAACATTGCACTTAGAAAAGCAGTTACTGACAGTGAATATTCTGATCACTTTTGAATCAGCATTTCAAACGTATCTCGCAAA